ACAAAATGGGTTGGCACAGTGGCAGAAGCAGTGGATTCAAATGTAATAACAATTGTAAATATGGTAGAGGACTGGGCAGTGTTTTTTGCATAAGTTCGTTATGTATGATAAACATTCTATTTTGCATAAGTTCGCTATGAGTTGGAACCAAAGCAAAAGCACCTCACAACAACATTGCTGTTGAAAAGATAGCATGAATAAGAGAGAATACAACAACTGCTCCCTTCCCCACAGCAGGTCTTGAACCCCAGCTGGATGAGAGCAGAGACTGTGAATTTTATGAGACTTCATAGTTTTAATCAATCGACTGGACTGGACTTGATAATCTTAAAAACTAGAAAACTTAAAAGACTAGAAAACTTAAGAATCTGCCTGAGGTTTCATGCCAGACTGGGGATAGGGAACAAGCCACAGAGTGAATTTATTGAAGAGGGATGAGAAAGAATAAAATTGCTTTCTGCTCCTTTGCCAGAAAGTTAAGCTTGTTTTATAACCCAGAGGACAGAGTAAAACACCACCCCATGGCATTGCACATAATCAATATTAGCTAATTTAATTATTAACACATAGTAGTAATAAAGTATCCTAGTTTTTACTTTTAGAAGTATTACAACAATAAGAGAGATGTTAGTTAATCTTGACCAGAAAAAAATATTGGGAGCATGGTGGCTCTGTATGATAAACATTGCACTGTGAACGACAAGGTAGGCAGTTCAAGCCTACCAGCCACTCAATGGGAGAAAAAGGAAACTTTCTACTGCAAAGATTCATAACTTTGGAATCCCTATACAGGGTTACTAACAGTAAATAATAGAAATTAAATAAGTAGATAATCAATTAACACAAAGTAAACTCATCCATCAAGTATTTACTGAACACTCCCTCTAGACCAGGCTCAGTACTGGGCACAGGGATTTAACTCTACCTGAGAGTGTTCTTAGCCTACAAGTACATGAATTCTTTAAGTGTGGATACTCTCAGTTTATAGTAGACACCAAGAAGGTGACAGATGTATTACCAAGACTTACTTGCATAACACCATGGCATACAAGGACTCCCCCACATGAATCAGCCAGGCAAGCCAATACCTGTAACAAAAAAGTCAGTCTAGTTTAACATGGTGGTTATTTGCAAATGAAATTTAACACAGAAACCTCACAAAGAAAGGGTTGTAATGAATCAGCCCACTCGGATCCATACAAACACAACTGCCCTCCTCCCATGTCTCCAGCAAGCCTGGAGCTCCCGGGCCCACTTCTCATTTCTGCCAATTTCCTTACCCATTGCGCATGAGGGTCTGATGGTGGTCCACCAAATACTGAGTGAAGGGACCCAGGGGACCGAGGCTCTGATAGGGGATACTCTCAGGCCAGAAGACAGCCCACTGTGAAAGAGAAGCAGAATATCCAGTAGGCCATTGAAAAGATCAGCAAGTTTCTGCTTTGAGAGAAGACTATGAAATAATCCTGATTGTAAGACAATGTACACCCAGGCTAGTAAGCAGCTGCAGACCAAAGAAACTATCATTAAAGACATCAGGACTTCCACTCGTTACTTTCATTTCTTAAAAGCTACTCCATTGGGCGATTTATGGTGATGAAACCACGTGGTAACTGGTCTCAGTGCCAGGGTGCACGGCTATGATTCTTGATGAATTCTACCAAGAATTTTATACAAGTCATTAACCAATTTTAAGAGTTTATGTGTCTGAGGTGGCGTCTTTGCTGCGTAAACTTTGGCTTAACCCAAACCCCTGTGAAATTCAGAATCCCTTTCTCTTTTTTCTCTTCTGTCACAGTCCTGGGTGATGCAGTTTGCAGTTGGCTACTAACCTAAAGGTTGATGGTTAGAATCTACGTACCAGTGCTGTGGAAGAAAGACTTACGGAATGAGTTTAAATAAATAATGATTTATGGAAGCAAAGCAGCCAAGGAAACCCTGTGGGGTGGTCCTATTCTATAGCACATGAATTCGCCATAAGTTGCAACAGACTTGATGATAATATGTTTGTGTTTTGTTTTTGTTGTTGCTGCTCTTCTCTCTCTTCTTTCACTTTTTCTACCCTAAAAAGGAGCTCTGGTAGCGTAGTGGTTACGAATCGGGCTGCGAACCTAAAGGTCAGTGGTTCGAAACTACCAGCTGCTCCGCGGGAGAAAGATGAGGCTTTCTACTCCCGTAAGGATTTATACCCTCGGAAACCCTGTACAGGGTCGCTATGGGTCGGAACCGACTCAACGGCACGTAACAACAACAACAAACTAGGAATGATACATTGTACAGAGTGGAAAAAGAATTGAGATGGTCTGGTTTTGTTTTTTTTATGATAACAGCTTAGTTATCCAAAGTTTTGTAATATTGTCAACTTTTCTTAGGTCTCTATATTGTAACTTCTGTCACTTTAAGCTTCTCTGAGAATAATGAAGTATGAACAATTCCAAAATGTATTGTGCTATTTAGATCGCAACCTAGAGCAGTACTGCCTTTCCCACACTGTTGCACATCCAAAATTTAAATAAAAAATAAAGTATCACTGTATCCTTCCCAGCTATGGGAATGGACAGTGTACTTAGCTCCACAATGTCCCAGTTTGAAGTCCCCCAAGACTATGTATATAATCAAGAACCAATGGTATTGAAGGAAGAAGTCCAAGCATTGGCCAAAAACAAGGTTACAGGAATACCAACTGAGATGTTTCAACAAACAGACGCGACACTGGAAGGGCTTGTCTAGGCCAAGAAATCTGGAAGACAGCTACATGGTCAGCTAACTAGAAGAGGTCCATATTTGTGCCCATTTAAAACAAAGGCGATTCAACAAAATAGGCAAATGAATGAGCAATAACATTAAATATGTTGTTGTTACATGCCGTGGAGTCGGTTCCAACCCATAGCAACCCTATACAGGGTTTCCGAGGCTATAAATCTTTACGGGAGCAGAAAGCCTCATCTTTCTCCCATGGAGCTGCTGGTAGTTTTGAACTGCTGACCTTACAGTTCACAGCCCAATTTGTAACCACTACGCTACCAGAGCTCCTTAAATATACACAAGTAAAATTTTGTAGAGATTATTCAAAAACAGTTGCAGCAGTACATAGACAGGGCAATGCCAGAAATTTAAGCTGGGTTCAGAAATGGATGTGAAACCAGGAACCTCATTGCTGATATCAGAAGGCTATTAGATGAAAGTAGAGAACACCAGAAGATGGTTTCCTGTGTTTCAGTGATTGTTCAGAGGTATTCAACTGTGGGGATTTTAACAGATTATGGATAACATTGAAAAGGATGGGAATTCTAGAACACTTAATTGTGCTTATGTGGAGCCAGTATATAGGCCAACAATATAGCACAACAAGAGATACTGTATGGTTTAAAATCATGAAAGGTGTATATCAGGGCTGTATCCTTGCACCATACTTACTCAACCTGTATGCTTAGCAAATAATTCAAACTGGATTATATGAAAAATGCAGCATCAGGATTGCAGGTGTTTTCATTAACAACCTGCAATATGTGGATGCATATTCATTAACTCAGCAACCTTACTTGCTGACAGCAAAGACCTGAAGTATTTATCGATAAAGAGTACAACATTCTGTATAGATTACACCTCGACATAAAGAAAACAAAATCTCCCCAACTGGACCAATACGCAACATCATGAATAATAAGGAAAATATTGAAGTTGCCAAGGATTTCATTTTACCTGGGTCTACAATCAATGTCCACAGAAGCAGCAGTCAAGAAATCAAATAGCATATTCCATGAGGCAAATCTGTTGCAAACGATCTCTTTAAAGCGTTCAAGAGCAAAACTGTCAGCTTTAGGACTAAGGTATGCCTAAACCTTGAATTTTCAATAGCGTCATATGAATGTGAGGGAGTCCTAATGTGGCACTGTGGGTTAATGCGCTGGATTGCAAAGTTGGTTTGAAACGCAAGGTGGCGGTTCAAGCTCACCAGTCGTTCCTTGGAAACCCTATGGGTCGGAAGCGCGCAACAATATATGAAAGTGAGCGTTGGACAATGAATAACGAAGATCGTAGAAGAATTGATGCATTTGAGTTATGGTGTTACAAAGTATTAAAAGTACCATGGGCTGCCAGAAGAAGATCCAAATCTGTGTTGGAAGAAGTACGGCCAGAGTGCTCCTTCATAGTCAGGATGGGGACACATGTCTCTTCTACTTTGGACATATTGTCAGGAGGGACCAGTCCCTGAAGAAGGGTACCATGCGTGGTAAAGTGGAGGGGTCAGCGAAAAAGAGGAAGCCCCCCAACAAGATGGATTGACACAGTGGCGGCAGCAATGGTGAGAAAAGCACCTAGCGACAACAACCTCGCTTACCAGTTAAATCGTACTCATACTTTAAGTTTAGTTTCATTTTCTAAGCAATCCCAATTCCATCAAACACTGCTTCTAGAAGCCTTACCCCGATCCTACACCATTTTCTCAGTTTGGCTTTCACCTCTGTCGCTCACTTCTGACGGTTAACCGTATTATTAGCGGAGGGACAAGGTTTGAAAAACGGAAATGCTTTAAAGTGGATCCGGCCCTCTGAACCCACCGAACATCCGCGTGCACCAGTAACCTAGGCAACCGTCAGTGCACCCGCGGCGCAGAGACCTGGTCACCCCGCGCCCCTCCGTCTATAGTCCCTGGAGGGCCGGACGCTTGTGCCGCTCTGCCCAATGTCTCACCGTGAAGTATCCCAGTCCCAGAGCCGTGACCAGCGAAGGCAATGGCCTGGCTGTACGGAAGTAGGAGGTAGCAGACCTGGCGGCCTCTGACTTCCCCACCACCATCTTGTCCTGGTTGTGGCGCCGTGGGTTAATACGCTGGACTGCAAAATCGGTTTGAACCTCAAGGTCGGTGGTCCAAGCTCACCAGCCGCTCCTCGGAAACCCTATACAGGGTCGCTATGGGTCGGAACCGACTCGACAGCACTTAAAAGCAATCTTGGTATCTGTTGGGAAGCTGCGCCTGTCTCCAGTTTGGTAAAGGTTGTCTAACCGGTTCCCCAGGTACTCTTGCACCTACTAGAAACCTGCAACCGGAGTCGGGGGTTGAGCCTGATGGAGCTGATTCTGCGCTGGCAAGGGCGCTAGTTCCTCTCACCTGTCGGTAGCCCGTTGGCCCCCTGCAGTTACCCATGGAGAGGCCAGTGACCAGGAACCAGAACTGCCTTGCTCCCGCCTGTCCCCACCGAGGGATCCTCTCCCGGACTGCGCTGCACATCAGGAATTGGGCAGGGGCCTACCCATCCCTGGAGGAATCAGATTCCGGACAGTCGGAGAGCTAGGCTCCTCCTCCACACCAATACGCCGGTCGTGGACTTGTGAAAGGGGCGGGGGACTGAGGAATCCCTCCCTGAATTTCACTTTTCAGGGTCTAAGATAAAAGTAGGATTAGATGGTTGAACTTCAACTCTGTGCCGAACGTTTATGCCTCTATTTCCCTATCTGTAAAATTGTTGTTGTTGTGAAGTGCCATCGAGTCATTTCTGACCCATAGCCGATTATATAGGGTTTCCAAGGTGAGTTTCAACCGCTGTCCTTGCGGGCCATAACATCCTACAGTACCACACCAGTACACCATATTAGCTATTGTTATCGGCGGTTCAAGCTCACCAGCTGCTCCTCGGAAACCCTATACAGGGTCGCTATGGATCGGAACAAACTCGACGGCACTTAACAATGTTGTTAGCGACCCTGTATAGGGTTTCCAAGGAGCGGCTGGTAAGCTTAAACCGCCGACCTTGCAGTTCAAACCAACTTTGCAGTCCAGAGCCACACCAGGACTCCATCTGCAAACATTGTTATGTGCCATAGAGTTGGTTCCAACTGGACGGCATTTAGCAACAACAACAAAGCTTTTAACCCATTTTAAAGCACCAGGTTAAACAACTCATGAAGTCTAATCAGGAGGCACCTCAGATTGATCTATGCCTCTTTAAAATCTCCACTGCGCTTCGACAGGACAGCATTTAGCACCTGGTCTGGCATATTCTCTAAAAGGCCCAACCTTATAAAGCACTATGGGGCAGAAAGTCTCCTGAGTGTTTCCAGGCATTAACTCATTTAATACACCCTAGTTAATGCTCCAGACTGCAAAGCTGTTTCAACTACAAGGTTGGTGGTACCTAGTCCAAGATAGAGTCATTCAAATAGAATAAGGATTGTTAAAATCAGGAAAAGTGTGCTTTAAGATTGTATCCTTTCACCATATTTATTCAGTCTGTATTCTGAGCAAATAATCTAAGAAAGTGGATTATATGAAGAATGAAGCATCAGGATTGGATTAGTGATATACATTAACAACCTGTGATATACAGATGATATAACCTTGCTTGCTGAAACTTGAGAGGATTTAAAATACTTACTGATGAAGATCAAAGACTACAGCCTTCAGTATGGATTGCACCTCAATGTAAAGAAAACAAAAATCCTCAAAACTGGAATAATGAATAGCATGATATATAGAGAAAAGATGGAAGCTGTCAAACTTCAATTTGTTTGGGTTCAAAATCAACATTTATGCAAGCAGAAGCCAATAAAACAGAAGTAAGTATCTTTCTGTATTCTCTCCTTTCAGTCAAGATAATGAGTCTTTCTCAATACTGATGTCACATTCTTCTTCATATAATCCAACATCTTAGACATAATCAAACACTGTGAGGAAACAAGTCAAGGGGAATGGGGACACAGAACCAAGATCTTGGGAGACACCAAGGTCAATTGGCATAAAATAGTCCACAAAGACCATGTTCTACATCCTAATTTGGTGAGTAGCAACTGAGTTCTTAAAAATTCATGAGTAAAAAAGGATAATAATACTAAGATGCTTGACTGTCTTGTGAATATTAGTTTCCCTTGCCTACTATTGTAAAACAGACACTTGAGTGGGATAGAAAGGAATGTTAGGAAACATGATTACAGAAAGCTTGTAAGCCCATTTTCCACCTATAACTGATTAAAATACTTAAAAGGGTTTCTAGAACTTGTCCAGCGAAATGTGCCTCTTCAGGAGTCTTTGCAGTGTATAGGACCCTAGGTGAAATCCTGAGCTCCATCCAGAATCTTTTGAGATGGGACATTCACACTTGAAAGAACAAGCAGACCAGCCTGGAAGCGCTAGAGTGACACAAGAGACATCTACAAAGAAAGATCATCAGAAAAAAAATTAAATATGGCAGTATGACTGGCTACTACAAGAATAAGCAAGTTGTTTGCTAGGAAGCCATCAAGGTAAGCAATCAAGTTCCTTCAGGACAAACCTGCCTCTAAGACTGAAACTCAAAGGGAACACATGAGCAGGCATGTAAGCTTGCTGATGACCACACATTGGTCTACTGGTGAGTGGAAGAGGGGGAAAGGCAGCAATGAAGAAATGATCTGAGTTCAACCTTGTTCCATAGACGCCCATTGACCTGAAGATGAGAGAGAAGAGGAAGTACTGGTTGGTCCAAA